GGTCTCTTGATGATATGGTGGATAGAGTGCTAGGCCCGCAGCCAGGAAGACTCAGATCCTGCCTCAGACACTTACTGGTGGTGTGACCTTGGGCAAGTCACTTCACCCTGTTTGCCTCAGTTTCCTCATCTGTCAAATGAGCTGGAGAAGGAAATGGCAAACCACTGCATTATCTCTGCCAAGAAAACCCCAAATGGGGTCACGAAGAGTCAGGCATGACTGAACAATAACAAAACAGAATACAGGGAGGGTAGATGAAGATAGAGTATTGTTATTTATGAATGTCGATGTATTTAATCATGAAATATTGAAATATAATTATAAGTTACAAAGACCACTTGGATATATAATTGGAACTCCTGAGGCCATTGACAACTCTAAAATTCTACAAAGATAGGGTCCTAGGGCAGTAGAATTGAGAGGATGTGGGTTCAAATCCTACCCCTACCACTCTCTACCTGTGTTGTGTGACCTTGGGCAAGTCCCCTCTCAAGCCTTAGGTTTTCTTACTTGTAAAATGGGGCTGGGGGCTGGGGAGTGTTCCAGATCAGTTGTGTCAAACTCAAATTGAAATGGGGGCCATTAATCCACGTATAAGGATCCCTGTGGGCTCCATATTGACTTGGTTTTAAAATGTAATGTTATCTTTGTTTTACTGCTCTTTTATTGGTTTTGTTAAATATCTCTCAATTACATTTTAATCTGGTTCGGCTGCATGTTTGATATCTCTGCTCTAGCTGACCTCAAAGTCCTTCCACTTGTCAAGCTATGATCCCATTGTTTGAGACCCAGGGCAAAAAGTTCAAATGCAAAAGGAAACCAAGAGCTTTTATTCTCTGAGCTCGCCCCCAAGTCCAACCAAGCAGAAAGGGACTCGGCTGCTTCGGCCTGGCCTGCCACTCGGGGAAGCCAGGAACATGGTTTTCCCCACATTTCAATTTGAACTATCAGCAAGGCTACAGGCATTAAAGTGGCCTTAGACCAAACGTTTTCCACAACAAAGTACTCAAGTCCTAGAACTTCGAGTTTGTTGTTTTGAAGGGAAAAATAAAACAAAACCCAGAGAGAGGCCATACTACAAAGTTGGTTTCCATATCAAAGCCCAGAGCCCCTTTTAATCTGCTAGGCAGTTTTCACAGTTTGAAGGAAGCATTTTTGAGAAAAACAAACAGAAATGAGTTTAGTTATAGATTTGAATAATTTTGTTTGTTTTAATAAAGAAGGGCTTGATTTTTCCTTATACAAAGGGATAATTAAACAGATGGGGCTGGGAGATCTTGTCTAAGTTGGGAAGATCTCTAAGGGGACAAACTTGGTCAGGAAGGAGAAAAATAACCTCTTAGATGCCCTGTTGCTTTAGAAGTTCTCTGGCCTGGATGCCTGGGCCATGCTGGAAAAAGCATGAAAATTTGGAGTTAATGGACCCTGGTTCAAATGCCTCCCTGCTACTCCCTACCCATGAGACATTGAGCAAATCACTTCTCAGGCCTCACCTTTCCTCATTTGTAAAATGGGGGTGTTGGAACGTCAAAGTTGTTTTATTAAATAGTCAGAAGCCAGAGGTTTTCAAAAGGGCACTGTCTTTGGAGGCAGAGGCTCCGAGTTCAAATATGTCTCTGATGCTATTGCATGGCCTCAGTCAAGTCATGCCTTTAAACTGCCGGTGCCTCAGTGTCCTCCCCTGTAAACTAAGTGTCGACTTGACTACCCTGGAGGTTCCTTCCAGGCCTACAGCTGTGATCTAGGATGTCATAATATCCTGCAATGAGAGTCAAGATGTAGCCATGCTCGGCATCTTAACAGAATCAATTTAGAGCTGAAAGGGAGCTTAGAGACCACCTATTCCAGCCCCTCACTTTACAGATAAGTAAGTGACTCATCCAAACTTGAACATGTCTGTCCATCTGCCTGTCTGTCTGAGGTGGAATTTCAACCCAAGTTGTCTGACTCCAGAGTTGGTATTCTTTAAAAACCTTCCAGTTGCTTAATATCTAGTAAACCACTCTAAAATTCATTTATTCAGGCAGCATCATAAGCTTTTTGAAAACAAAAAGCAAAGTTGGCAATTCCATATTCTAATTCTAATCACTGCCTTTTTCTTTTTCTTTTTTTTTGGAAGCAGTTGGGGTTAAGTGTCTTGCCCAGGCTCACACACCTAGTAAGTGTGTGAGGCTGGATTTGAACTCAGGTATTCCTGACTCCAGGGCCAGCGTTCTATCCACTGTGCCACCTAGCTGCCCTTAATCATTGCCTTTTGCCAAATATTTGGCAAATGCCATTTTTCTTTTTGGTCTGGGCAGGGGAAAAAAAGAAATTTACAAGACAACTTTATTATATCTTGAAAAGGAATAGCAAGTTGTACATAACAGATTTTCAGTTTCATGTGCAATCATCTTTTTTTAAAAAAGTATACTATGTTAAGAAATGCTTGTTTTATTCCTCAAATTAAAAAAAATAAAAATGAAAAAATTACTCCCAGCTCTTCCCTAATTTTTGTCTTGTTGTGTTCCTCTTTTGCACCCCTTCCTCTTCCTCTTCCTCCATTTTTTCTAAATGATTTACATTTTGGGCTCACTCTAGTTTCCCTTCTATTGCCAGTCCCCGTACATGCAAGATACATAACGTCAGCAAGCAGCATAATGTACTAGGCAAAGCTTTGATCCTGGCAAAACATGGAATTTTCCATTTCAAGCCTCAAAGAGAATGATCCCATGATTTTTTTCTTACAGCTTTTTGTGGGGCTCGTGGAAAGAATGATGAATATGGAGTCAGAGGGTTTCGGTTTGAATCCTAGCTCTGCCATTGATGAAATGTGACCTTGGGTAAGTCACTTCAAGTCAAGTCAACAAGCATTTATCCAGTGCCTACGGTATGCCAGGTACTGTCCCAAGCACAGGGGATAAAAAGAAAGGCAAAACCAGTCCCTGTTCTTGAGGGGCTCACAGTCTAATGGATGAGACAGCATAGAAAGAGCTTTGTACAAATGAGGTACGCACAGGATGACTGGACATGCAGAAGGTGCTAGCATAATGGGATAATTGGAAAAAGCTTTTTGCAGAAAATGGGATTTTAGTTGAAACTTAAAGGAAACCAGGAGGTGGAGATGAGAAGGGAGAGAGTTCTGGCCATGAGGGAGAGCCAAGCAAAAAAAAAATCCCTAAACTCCTTTGCTCTCAGTTTATGCATACATAAAATAAGGGAGTTGCAGGACTCAAGCTCAAATTCTGCCCCTGTAATTTACTGACTGACTTTTCATGACTCCATTTGGGGTTTTCTAGGCAAAGAAAGTAGTTTGTCATTTCCTTTTTCAGCTCATTTTACAGATGAGGAAACTGAGGCAAACAGGGTGAAGTGACTTTCCCAGGGTCACACAGCTAGCGTCTGTTAGTATCTGAGACTGGATTTGAATTCAGGAAGATTCCTGACTGCAGGCCCAGCACTCTATTCACTGAGCCACCTAGCTGCCCACTGTCTGGGTGAATAGAACGGATTATTTTATTTGGGCAAATCACCTCACCTTTCAGGGTTCCAGTTTCCTCATTTGCAAAATGAGGGGATTGGACAAGATGACTCCTAAGGTTTCTCCCACCTCTAAATCTACGACCTGATCAATAAAGGCCTTAGCGAACTTCTACCTTTGAGTCAGGACACAGTCACTATTGAGGGGTGTGGAAACTCTCTTAATTTGTTTTCTTCATTCTTCCTTGCCCCTCACATGCTCATAAAGCTTGTTAAAATACTCTCAAATGCCTGTCATTTAAATACAAATTTCTTCCCCCTAAGTGGTTTGAGCAAGAATACAGAAACTGTTGTGCCCTTTGCCATCCAGCTAAATACATGCTAATCATAAACATAAGTGTTTTTGTAAAGCACAGATCACCTATTAATTAGGGACAACCTCTGGAAACTCTAAGAGGCATACCTTTAAGGAAATTAGAAACAGTATTACTTTACACCTGGCCAGCAAACATGTGCCACACTAAGTCAAGAAGGGTGGATGTAATTCCTGGGTGTCATATGGACAATAGGACCATTGGGCACCCTAGGGATGATGGGGGATACAACACTACTCTTTTTAAGTAGATATCATTGAGGGTAACTTCATATTACTATCAAAGGTGGCTTGGTGCTCATCCCAGCCAGAGATAGAGTGTATGAGAAGAGACAGAGGTTTCTTATATCCAGGGTATTCTGTGTATTATTGTGAGCACAATCATGTCAATGAAGTCAATATGAAATCAATTACACAATCTATGAGAAATCAACCAATCAATGAATATTTATTAAGTGCTTACTGTGTGACAAAGAATAAAATGATTTTAATTGAGGAATGAGAAACCTCAGTTGAGCAGCTCCTTAGCATGGTCTGCATGAGTCTAGTCCTCCTGGGTTGGTGGGGATCATGGGTTCAAGGTTTCTTATGAAAAGATGAGGATGAAGGAAATTTGCCTTAAATTAATGTTAAGGCTAAAGTTATCTTGGCAGCTGCCAAGAATCATAGATTGAATGCCTTAAAACTATATTCATAGCATCCACATGAGGATCACTTCACAAATGAAAACCTTAATTACTTGGCATCCAGAATCCAGTTGTCAGCACTCTCTAGATTTGGTGCCCTGGGGGAAAGACCCAGTTGCCCCACCCTGGTTATACCTTTGAAGTCAGCTCTATACGTAGAGATCTCAAGAGAAAGGAGAAAGGATTTCTAAGGCATCACTAACACTAATTTGATTAATTCTAGACTTCCAAACTGGGTGACCCGCTGCTCTCATTGTATAAAAAGATGTGGTCTCTGTCCTCAGGAAGGTTACATGATTTGGGACGGTGACTCACCCCATGGCTGGACATGGAAACATGGCAACATTCACCCAGTACTTCATGATGAAGGCATTGGCTTGGCTGGTTCTCCACAGGCACGCACGCCTTGCCTAGTCATTAAATAACTGAGACGTGTAATGCAAGTGGTTGGGGGGGGGGAGATTCTGGGTCCAATAACTTACCAAGGTTATCTCCAGCGATGAGAGGCAACATTGCTACCGAGGTCAGTGAGGGCAGGCGTTCCTACGGGAAATGAAAGACAAACACTGCTTGTTAGAATGGGGAAGTGCAAGCAGTGGATTTCAACTGTCCCTGATGCACGAACGGAACATTGACCTTAATGCAGTAATAATAACAGCTAGCATTTGCAAAGTATGTTACATCCAGGATCTTGATGAATCTCAAAATAACACAATGAGCTTATTATTATCCCCATTTTACCAGTGAGGTAACTGATGCTGGAAGAGGTTAAGTAATTCATTCAGGGTCACACATCTAGCGTCTGAAGCAGGCTGGGAACTCAGGTCTTTCTGACACCAACCCCAGGGATCTATCCACTCAGCCATTCAGAGGGACTCTGTCCAGATTTAATGTTTATTCTATGGGAAGAAATGTGAATTCACTGAAAAAGCACTGAATAATTCAAATTTGCACCCCCAAAAGTGGTAACTTTGTTGTTCAGTCTTTTCAGTCATGTCTAACTCTTCGTGACCCCTTTTTGGGGTTTTCTTGGCAAAGATACTGGAGTGGCCAGTCATTTCCTTCTCCAGCTCATTTTACAGATGAGGAAACTGAGGCCAACAGCATTAAGTGACTTGTCCAGGGTCACACCACTAGTAAGTGTGTCTGAGACCAGATACGAACTCAGGAGGATGAGTCTTCCTGACTCTAGGCCCAGCACTCTACCCACCGCATCACCTAGCTGCCCCCAAGTAGCTGCATACCAGTATTAATTCATCCTTTATCTTGACTTCCCATTTTCTTCCCCTTAGACCTATTAGGGAAGTGGGTTGTAGTAGAAATAACACTGAGGTGAGAGTTAAGAGCACTAGAACACAAATCCCAGTGTTGCTGGTACTCACTACCTTTGTTACCTTAGGCAGGTCATTTTACCTGAGAATAGGACCTCAATTTCCCAATCTGCAAAATGAGGACATATCCCTGTAGCAAACTGTTTTTTTTTTTTAGGGGAGAGAAAAGAAGGACTATACCCATGATTTCACCGTCACAGGGAGTTCTGGGTCCTAACCTTCCTTTTCCAATGCAGACCACATCTTCTCTGGCATTTATATTCTCTCAGCAAGTCCTGCTAGGGCACAGAGACGTTAAGTGATTCCCCCAGGATCACAGAACCATGCTGTGTCAGAAGACCCTGAACGCAGGGCTGTCTGACTGACGCCATCATCTGCCTATTCACTAGCTTGATGTCAAGGTCAACTAAGGTCATCTCTATAAAAGGCCATGAAATCTTTAAGGCACGACTTAAATGCCAGTTATCATGATGTCTGGTGTTCCCCTCGCCTCCCAGGTCTTCTCATGCCTCCCTCTGGCAGCCCCCAAAGGAGGGAACAATATGTCTTATGTCACATCATGAGCTCATGACAACGTGGTGAAAGTTTCATAAAGCAGGTCCCAGCTGCTACCCGACATAGTGGATGTCTATCGCATCCCATATGCTTTTGGCTTGAAAGTCCAGTGATGTGACATCACACAGCTAAGTGAAAGCTTGAGGTGGGAGGAGAACCCAGGTCTTTCTGATTGCAAGTACAACATTCCAGCCGATCTGAAGCACTGCTGCCCAGTGTGGAAGAGCAAGCCCAGGACTTCTGATGGTGTCCTACCCAGCGGAGCACTACCAGTGACTGAGGAATGCAGGCCACTGAAGGCACGGCCATCCATTCTTGGACATGTCTCTTTCCTACCTGCTCTCCTGAGCACCACATCATTTTTATTCACCTCTAAGTAAAGCTAGAGTGCTGAGGCTGAAATCAGGAAGCCTCATCTTCCTGAGTTCAAATCTGGCCTAGCTGTGTGACTCTGGGCAAGTCACTTCACCCTGCTTGCCTCAGTTTATTCATCTGTTAAATGAGCTGCAGAAGGAAATGGTAAACCATTGCAGTAACTTTGCCAAGAGAACCCCAAATGGGGCCACAGATAGTCCAACATGACTGATACGATTAAACACTAACATTAAAGTAAAGCTGTTTGTGTTTAAGCAGAGAAAACACAACAAAATGAAAATGGAATCAGTCGCTGCCCAACTTACTGCAGAAAATGAAGTGGGAGGGGCAAATCTGAGTTGGAGGGGAGTTGGGGGGGGAAGTGCAGAATTCAGTCTAATTATCCAAATAAACAGAGAGTAAGAAGATCCCAGTAGCTGTTTAATCAAATCAGCCAGCAGGCTTGGGTGCTAACATTATGGGGATCTATCTATAATGGCATTACTCAGACCAGCATGTAATTAGATCCACTCAAACCCTGCCAGCCAAGGCTTAAGGGAGAGTTGGTGGCATCTGGACAATTCTTGCAAAGCCCGAAAATGAAATGCATCCACAGTGCTATCTGATGTTGGGCCAGTCTGACAGATGCTGGAGACTGGAATCAGCTGGTACCTTAGGGAGCCCGGTGGCTGAAGGGGCCTTGGCTTAGGAGTCAGGAGAGCCGAGTTCTGGTTTAACTAACTCCAAACGACCAACGGTGTGACCATATGTGAGCTGCTTAATCTTTCTAGACCTCAGTTTCCCTAGATGTATCATGGTGGTTGTAAAAGTGCTGGGTTAGGTGACCTGTAGGGCCCCTTCCAGCTCTAGGATCATGAGTGAGAACCTTTAGAAATTTGTAGATTCTTGGATTTTGAACTGGAGGGGACCAGAGAGATCATCTGGCCAGCAGTGAGTGCCATGTAATGGAGAATGTGGGTTTGAATGGATTGCTGCTTACTCCCTGAGCAATGAGCAATTCATTCAATATCTCTTGGGACTCAATTTCTTCAGCTACAAAAAGACCCAAGCTCTATGGACCTTTTCAGCTCTGTGTATAAGATTCCTATGATCTCTCTCAGTTTCTTTGGCTGTGAAAATGAGGCGACTGGACTGGGTGAACTTTATAATTTCTTCTAGCTCTAAATTTCGGCTGCATGAATTATTTGGTCAGATTTTTTTCCTTCGGTGAGAGAAGTGTCCAAGGAAACATGAGGGCACCAGATACCTGAAGGCCACTGGAACAGGGAAAACAACGAGTCCAGAAAGTGGATATTAAGAAGAGTGAAGATAGATTCTATTGCCTTCGTTATTTTTTTCTGAGGCTTGCCTTATTCCTGGCTTCTAAACACTCTTCGCAGTGGGGTCTACACACCATTGCCCACCTCTGAAAGTTAGGATTCAGTGACAGAGAAGGATTTTCTTTCCTCATCTGTTTCAAAATGAACTTCTTCCCCCCACATTTCGAACCTGGGCCTGAATGCATTTTGCTTATGAAAATGCCAAATAGGTCATAACATTTTTCTCTCTTTCCTGGCCAGTCCCAGAGATTAGCAGCTCTGGAAATTGGAAAAATAAAAAGATGACAGGGAAGGAAAGGTTTTGACCTCTTCGGAATTTCACCATGAAGTCCAAGGACATCCCAGAGTGCTGCTAAATTTGAAAGGCATGATGGCTATCTGAAACAACGTGGCAGTATACAGTTACAGAGGGCTTTTCAGTAGCATCGGGTCAGCTGCTCATGCCCTTCGACAAGCAGCTCTCCAAAAGGGGAAGGGTGAACATCAGATTACTGAGTCTCTTCTCTGGGAAGAGGATTTCATTAGAAGAGACCAAAGTCGTAGGACCATTTAGACCCAAGAGGCCCTGGCCTAATTTCTCAATCAAGGAAGCCATTTTTAATGAACGACCAACGTGTCTATAACCCAATAGTGAGTGCCTTCCTACTAAGAAGAAGAGGAGTACTTGAAGTTTGAAGCCTCTTTCAATGTCAGTTTCCAACAGAATTACAGAATCTCAGAGGTGGAAGGTTTTAGGCCTCATTTTCCCTAATTGTAAAATGAGGGGAGTAGAACAGATAGAGGCCTGTACTTGAAGCCAGGAAGATCTGGATTCAAATCCCTCCTCAGACACTGGGCAAGCCACTCATGTCTCAGTTTCCTCATCTATAAAATGGAAGACTGGATAGGAAGAACTCTGCTTCTAGCTTGAAATCTGATATGCTGATCCTATGTCCTTGAAGGTCCCTTTTAACCCTAAATCTATCACCCTGTGCCTCGGGGGTCATCTGATCCAACCCACACCTGAACACAAATTCTCAAAAATATGGTCATCAAGCCTTTGCTCCCAAACCTTTTTATTCAAGACCTCTATTCCACTTAGGGATAATTTATGAGACTTTCCCCAATAGATCAAGCCTAAACTTGTCTCTCTGCAATTTATTTCATTGTTTCTAGTTCTCAGTTCTGAGACCAAGACTTCTTCATGACAGCCTTTCAAATGCTTGAGAACAGCTATTATCACAACTGACCCACCCCTCATGCCAGTATTCTCTTCTTCTTCTTCTTTTTCTTCTTTTTTTTGTGAGGCAATTGGGGTTAAGTGACTTGCCCAAAGTCACACAGCTACTGAGTGTTATGTGTGTGAGGCCGTATTTGAATGCAGGTCCTCCTGATTCCAGGGCCGGTACTCTGTCCACTGCATCACCTAGCTGCTCTAAGACTTCGCCATCTTGATTACTTTGCTCTGGTCACATTCTAGCTCAGTAGCATCAAACTCAAATAGAAAAAGAGACCACTAACTCATACAGAAGGATCCTTGCAGGCTGCATATTAACTGGGGTTTAAAACATAAAATTATCTGTTTTATTGCATCTTTATTTATTTTATTAAATTTAATCTGGTTCGGGCTGCACTCAGGAAGGTTGCAGATTGCATGTGACCCAAGGGTCACTTGCCTGAGACCTCTGTTCTAGCTGACTAAAATGAGGTGTCAATACATTCCACTCAACACTCCCCAAGCAATCTAACCAGGGCAGAGCCACAAGAGAGCTAGCACTTCCTGTGCCCTGGACTTCACGCCTCCGTTACTATAAAGGCCAACACCGAATGTGCTTTCTTGGTTGACGCATCCCACTGATCTTTTCCCTCCTCTGTCTCATCTTATTCAATCTGGTTCAGCCTGTTTAGACCTTTTTGGATCCCACATCTATCCAGGGTGTTCACTGTCCCGCCTGGCTTTGTGTCATCCCCACACTGTTGAAAC